TGTGCCTTGTTGGGGCAGCAGCTGGAGGTCAGGAGTGGCTGGAGGCCCCTCAAAGTATACTGGGCACTAATCCATGAGCAGATGGATTGAGTTCTGTGAGTCTCAGGTTGAAATCAGAGCTTACCATAGCAAATCATGTTTTTCACTGTCCCCTTCTAAAGAAAAGGGGGTTGATAGAAGACTCTGCTAATTATATATAGGTTTGAAGTGTACAGAACATTACAAATCCTACAGCAGAGTTTTTACTGCACCTCATGTTGCTTTTGTTGAGTTTTTATTCTAACCCTAGTTACACTAAACAGTTTGTAAGAAATAAAATCCCATACTGTTTCACCTCTTCTGAAAAGTAGAATCATACTTGCTTCTGAACATTAAACATGATGCACTTCAATGCTTTATTTACTGATGTTGTAATTTGGTAAGACTCTGGTATCAATGTAATCTAATTCTTATTGGTGAAAGAAATGCATCTAGGAGTTAGGTGAACTTAACTGGAAAATATTTCATCAGACCGATTGATAATTTAGCAAGAGTTTTTATTGCAGTTTTAAGATGATAAACAAGTAAGGGAATTAAATCCCTCTAAAATATAACCAGCATTCTTAAGAAAATATCCTTAATAGAGGCTATCTTGTCTAAATTACACTTGCTAGTAAACTTTTCCAGTCTTGGAAAGGATTTCAAGATTTACTGAGGTTGTCAGAGAATTGGTGGAGAGTTGTCTTGCACTGTGCTGGCTGAAAACAGGTACCAGTGTCCACAAGATGGAAGCAGACACAAATAACTACATTTCAAAGCTTGCATAATGCTCATCGACTTTAGTTGTTCAAGAAACTACATGAAGGTACTGTTTAAACTCTTGAATAAGTATTTTCTGTTTTGTTAATCTAAAAATAATTTTATTTTTTGTGAATATTTTGCAGTTGTTACAGAGATCTCACCGTGTCAGCTTAATATTCCCCGAACTATATTTTTGTATAGTTAATCATTACATGCAAGACTAGCCCATGCCTTCTGGGAAAGGATGGGTGAAAAGATTCTTGACTCAAACAGAAAATTGATCAGTTTTGCCCTCAGATCTGGTTATTAGCAAAGCATACATGTCTGTCAGGGGCAGGAGCAGAAATAGTGTTTCAAACATTAACTCCGTGAAACTATCATCTCTTTGATCATATGCTGGTGCCCCAGTATCTTTAGTACAGAATTTTGGATCTGGTTGTCTGGCTGTTGTTGGAAGTCTTCGTATTTTGGAGTGATACAAAGATACATCCTGAAGGAGGCAAAATATCCATCAACTTTGAGTGGAGTTTTGCTTGAGGACAAGACTCCAAGACCAGTAAACTAGTATGTGAATCAAAAATCAAACCTGACAAGGCTAGGAACCATGACTGACCTAATATCAGCACTGGCATTTATTAGACTTGCTGCAATGCTTATTTTATGGCACAAGTGCAATCACCAATAAAAAAAGGAGTGCCTTTAGAAATGAGGGAAGTATCTCAATACAATCAGTTTCAATAATTTTCTGAAGTCTGAAGTTCAATTTCTCTCCAGCACTTAAACTTCCAATCTTACAGCTTGGGGTACACATATTAAAAATATAACAAACCTGAAAAATAATTTTTCCTTCATTCAGGAAATACTTGTTTCTATCAGAGTCTGTCTCCCACTCTTGGTAACCTGACAGTTGCTTGGGACTTAGAGATTTGGCTCTAAGGAGCTTGAGTTTACTGTAAAAGCCATGTCAAAGCTGTTAGTTTTTCTTCAGGCTGACAGCCTTCATCTGATTTTTATCTGAAATGTTTTTCACATTTGGCCTACAGTTGTTTTACATGTGTGTGAATCCAAAACTTGGATTAGGAAACTGATGCCTTTTGAAGATTTCCAAATAAGCAGAATAAAATTATTAATGAAAAGAACGCATCTTCTTGCAGTGATTTCAGTACAGTTATGGTGTTATAGTGCACTGGAGAGTATGTTAAAAATTGAGTGTTTTGTAGAATATTACAGGTTATCTCTGTATCTTTCTTTACAGAACTGCTAGAAGGTAAAATGTATTTTTGAATGAGACACCAAACCAGTTGGAATGTAAGGGGGTTAGAAACCCAGAAAGGCACATGATGTGTTGTGTCATGCAAATGACCCAATATCCAAGTTGCAAAAGTTAACTGAAATATTGCAAAACCTAATTTTTATGAAGTTATCAGCAAAGTATGCCATGACAAATTTCTTCTGCACCACACTTTTTAGTGTGGCACCAGAATCACAGAAATATCAAAAAGTAATAAATCTATCTCACCATGCCCAACTTCAATTTTTGATTTTATTTTTGTCCTGCAGTACTGGGACTCCAACTCCACCTCTGGATGCTGATGTTACCACACTGAGAGGTCAGTTTTCATCTAACTCCTGCCAAGGCTGATTGTGAATTACTAGAAAATTGAGAAATCCTATGGTGTTTGAATTTCAGGAAGCGCTGTGAATTTGTTAGTGTATGATTCATGACAATTCTACTTGAGAAATTAGTTCTGTGCACTTTATACTACACTTAATTTCATATTTCTAAAAATACATCTGCTTAGGGAGAACATTATCATTTTGTTCTGATTAGTGTATTTGGTACTTTCCCTCAAGTTCTTCAGGTGTTTCCTGTGCTGGTGCTGTCATGATGACAGGAATAAGCATCAAGTTTGACTTGGTTTAAGCTTGCTGAACTTCTTCTGTGTGTATCTACATGTAAATATGTATAAAGAAACCCCAAACCCAAACAAAATAATATTTGTCTTCTCTGTTCTCTTTCAAACTCAGATGCAGCTGCCAATGTTCCTCCCCCACATGAGATCTCCATTGAGACCCCTGAAGGTGGTACCATCCTTGAGGCTGATGATGTAGACACCACTGTGAGTGGTTTTTTTCATTTTTTTTTCAGTGTTCTGTTGCCTTTCCTAAATGATATTATGATCATTTACATTTTCTAGTACTTAAAGGTATTGTTAGCATGGTGTGTTAACACAAATGAAGATTTCATAAGACCAGGGCCTAAACTTTCTAAAATGTGAAAATAATTTCCTGGGTAGATATTTTTTGGATTTGCAGAGGCTTTGCAATGCCCCTTCCCCAGCAGCAGGAGAGAATGGATCTGTTGAGCTTCCAGGTCAGGATTTTGCTGGTGTCATAGGACTAGAGAAGGAATGCTTAGTGGTTCTGAGGGCTCCAAGAAGAATGTGGGACATTATAATTCTTGTGGAAACACAACGTACCTTAGGTTTCTATAGTAGAGTTTCAAGGGTTTATGTAGTACAATTGTGTAGGACAGCAGAGAGGTGGCCTGGACAGCCTTTAAGACTTTGATTCTCTGCTCCTTTTCCTCTGTTGATATAGATGAACTTCTATCATCTCACAAGTCCCCCTTACTGTGATATTTAAACAAAGTTCACAACACAGGGAAGCCTTACACCCAGTACTTAAGACATCTCTGTAGGAGTGAGCTGACTACCACATAGGTCCCAGGGAAGTATTTGCTTCCAGGAAACAGATCCTCTGGATTAAATTTTAATCCCAAACTCTGGAATCCAACTGCAGTGTTCATG